GTACATTAGTTAAAGAATTCTGCAACTTTGAAATATAATTTCACGAGATTAATATGTACAATTATATAAAAATAAGATTGAACGCAAGGCAAAATTTGTATTCGATATATCGCGCAATCATCGGAAAAGTCGTCGAAAAAAGTCTTTTTACGCGTTCGCGAAATATTCTGCAAAGAAAAAAAAGGACAAGGTTTTCTCGTTTTGAAAATATATTTAGTTTTAACGTGGAAATCTTGAAATGAGATTATATTGCGATAATTAAAGAAAAATATAATTGCTTGAATAATTGCTTACTTGAATGAAGCCATTATTATTTTATACAGTTCAATCGAGGAAAATATTTTCTTATGATTTAAGATTTAATTTTCTTGAATGAAAGAGAAACAATGTTGGATAGAAAATAACATTTTTAAATCAAAGATTATAACTTTCTTAAAGTAGAATTAAATAATTATATATTCTTGAGGTGACAATTACAATATTAAAATAAAATTATAATATTGTTGAAATTATTAAAAAATTATTAAATTCTTCTAAGAAGATTATAAATTGTCACGTATATATACGTAACATTAAACACGTTAGTTTAAGTATACAAGTTTTGATTTGACACTTATTTTTACTCTGCATAAAAAAAAGGACTTTCTTGTTTTGAAAATATATTTAATTTTAACATGGAAATCTTGAAATAAGATTATATTGCGTTAATTAAAGAAATATATAATTGCTTAGTTGAATGAAGTCATTTTATATAATTCAATCAGGAAAAATATATTCTTATGATTTAAAATTTAATTTTCTTGAATGGAAAAGAAACAATGTTGGATAGAAAATAACATTTTGAAATCAAAGATTATAACTTTTTTAAAGTAGAATTAAATAATTATATATTCTTGAGGTGACAATTACAATGTTAAAATAAGACTATAATATTGTTAAAATTTAAAATTATTAAATTCTTCCGAGATTATAAATTGTTGCGTATATACGAAACAATGAACGCGTTAGTTTAAGTATACAAGTTTTGATTCGACACTTTTTTTTCTGTGCAGTTTTCGCGTCGATTCTCTCCTTGACAGAAATGCAAATTCGCGGAAGGAAGATCCCGATTACGTGTGCAATTTCAGCATACGACCTTGTAACACTTTCGCGCTGAAGGAATCTAATAAAAAAAGGAGGAGAGCTCGCAGTGAACTCGCAATCAAGGAGAAACTGGTTTCTATTTGCGGGCTTCCGCCCGTTCGACAACCCCGTGGTCGATGCACCGGGCGCTCTCGTTCAACGACTTTTTCGGTCGAGCGACGCCGGAGCAACGACTCCGACAGGATTCTTCTGGAGGGAATTGTCTTAAGAGGCGTTGCCACGGTCGGCTCAAAAAGGTCGGTTGAAAAACTCTCTGGCAAAATTTAACCTTTCGAAAGCTTTCTACTTACGTTTCATCTTTTCTTTTTTTTTTTAATTAATCCTTAAAAACGCGTCTGCGACGTTAGTGTTCAAAATGAAGACGAGACGCTTGCTTCCTTTAATTTTAAAATAAAAAGCTTAGAATTAATTTAATTTGTTTGCACGATTTTTACGTATCATATTTCTCGTTTTATAAGTCTGTATCGCAAAAACAAGAACGATTTCGTAAGCAAGCACGTATCTGAAATACATGTTGGGCAATTTGATACATTAGTATAAAATAATTATCAATAATGAATCTTTTCATTTATGTACAATTTTCAAATAAATCTTGAGCCATTAATTTTCTTTCATAATAAAAGTCAAAATCTTGTTAAGATGTAAAGTTCCAGCACTGGTAAAAAGAAGATTATAAATTAATGTAGGAAAGAGAAAGAGAGAAACGAGGGGGAAGGGGAGGGGCCTGAGTATAATGTTGTCTGAGTAGGGACACAAATCCGTGAAGGAAAAAAAGCAGAAGCAGAAAATCGATAATCGTCAATCGGATCGAAAAGGAGCAGCGGCCGTAACAGGTGCCGCTTACTTAGATAGCGCAGGAAATGTTAGCCGGTCATTGTCAGAATTCCAAGGACACATCGCTATAAAAACCCTTCTATCGCATCCGAGGAGTATAAAAAAAGCCGAGGGGGAATAGAGAGTGAGAGAGAGAGAAGAAGAGAAAAGATAAGAGAGGGGGAGTGGGAGGTTGACCTTGGTGGATAGGGTTGTCCAATGAGGGCTCGAAGGAAAAAGGCATAGATGCGTGGTGAATTGTGCGTGAACCGCTCACTGGCCCCGTACACGCGTGTGAGTCACTTTTCCCGTATACGTGTACACGTAAGCGAATGTGCATGTCCGTTATACAGGGTGTCCCACTGTGACAGAAAGAAAAGACGCGTAAGCGAGAACTGCGTTTTATTCGGTCGTTTTATTTTCTCGATTTAATTCTCGCAAAATATTTGTCACTATTGATTGTCGATACAGGAATCCTTGGCCTTTCCGATTATTCTGTATAACATAAAAATTTCAAATATATTTTCTTCCGGACATGTTTTTACTGTTTTACTGCAATTTTTTTCTAAGCATCACCTCGGGGAGTCTACGATTGCGAGTAGTCGGCGAAAAAAAGGAAATGAACCTTGAAAAAAAGAAAATCTCTTGTAAGCTCTTGTCTTGAAGAATTATTTCAAAATCTAATATATACTTCGAAAGTATATATTTTATCTTAACTGATCCTTGCTAAGCAAATACAAGATTAGAGTAAAACCAAAATTATTTTTGACTAATTTCAGAATCGGTGATGAATGTTATCAACATACCATATCGAAGTTGTGATCTATGTGATTTTCATCATAGCTATCGTACAAAAAAAGATAAAATTTCGAAATTATTTGATTTATTATTCATAATTTATCTATTTCTAAACATGTCAGTTTGAAAGAAATAAAAATTCACACTAGAATAACGATAAAAATTTCCATTAGAAAGATGATTCTCGATCGTTTGTATTGACTGCCGAATTCGACGCATAGTTCTGCTGGACATTTTTTCATGAATATTAATATGTGATTAATAGAGTAGAAGTGGAACACCCTGTAGCTATCCGAATGGAGCCGCGGACTGCAATTCGGGGCCGGTTTAAAGTTACTCCCGCTCCCTAAATCGACATCAGGGCCCCCAACGCTACATGCGTCCTAGAAAAGTGTACAGTCGGATAGATTAATATATAATATACATGTATATACATCCAATTCAAAAATTATATCAAACTCAAATTTCAAATTTATTTATAATATGTGCAAAAGCATGTCTTGCGTAATTAATGGTATGATTAAATAATTTCATGTTTGAATGAAAAAATGAAAAAAATCGAGCTTTGTAAATGCGAATGCATCGAGTACGATTAATATATCCGATTGTATCCAATTTCTTCACAATTGCACGATGTAATAATAAATTAAAAACGAACTATGTCTCCCAAATATTCATTAAATGCATTTTTCGAAAGTATGCATCTATGAAATGTGTCTATCGTAATTATTCATCGCAAAAAATAAAATTAAATAAGCATTTTCAATATATTATATATATAAACAATCGAAAATAGTAACACATATGCGATAATACGATAAATAAATTATATAAGATAAAAAATGAAATAATATTACTTAGTTTTCTCTTCATATTATTAAATTGTATTATTATTATATTATTGATGCAAATATATAACTGCAAAGCGCAGGTTTAGTTTTAATCGATCTTTATATTCTTTTATATATAAATCGATGTAGTTTCTTATGAGAAAATCTTAAATCTTTGTTTTTTTCATATCAGAAAATTATTCTCTTTTCATAAATAATCTTCGCGAATTTAAAAAATTACTGAGTTTTGCATACGAAATTACATTTCTAGCAACATGTAATCTTTCGATTTCCAAAGGTATTAACTATTCGTACGGAATATAAAGAGGTTCAGAATTTCGATGTCCTAAAAAAAAGCAAAACTTTTATTGAACCCGTATCATAAAAAGTTTTCTGTGTCACTGGGAAACCATAGTGCAACAATGCGAACAAAATTGCCTTTGTAGCCTCGATGGTGACTTCATGGTCAATTGTCACCCTCAAGTGTGGACATAAAAATAATTTACAGCCGTTTACTATTACGTATTGTTTGAGAAAAGATTAAAGAAATAATATAAACGTCGAAAAAAATGCATATATAAAGATAAAAATTTGAGAACAAATATAAATAAAGAACGAGAAAAGTGTGGCTTAGAACATTCGAAGGGGGGAAGAACTCATAAAATTCATCAAGAAACAAAAATTTCGCAATAACATATAATCATAAGATATCGCTATGAAATTATTTTTTTATCTGTACCATAGATAAGAGTTATCAAAATAGGAACATAAATAAATAGATTTTATATCTATGTAAACATTTTATGCATTTCATGAAATCTATTTTTTATCTATTGAACATGAATAGTAGATAGACATCGATCAATATTGATTGAAACATTTTCCTTAAAAGCGGTCAATATCGCTTGTTGCACTGTAACATTTTGCAGGTAATGATATAAATTTAAAAAAGTATTCCGGAGCTATGTACATTTCTCTCTAACGGTAAAATCGTAATAAATTTAATTCAGTCTTTCTTCTCAAACATTTTTTTCACATTTTTGTCAATACCTTGTAATTTACGAGTCTTTTTCTTTTGAAAAAAAAAGGACAGTTATTCGGAGAAATTTGCGGTATATTGTCGCAATAAAAAATTTGCCGCGTTAAATTCATACCAAACACATGCCAAACTTTCTCTTCAATAAAAGGTGAAAAGGTGAAAAAGGAAGAGATTCTAATATTTTTTCTTTTCGGGAAAATAAAGCATTTTGTGAAGGACATGTACAAAAAAAATTGCACAAACAATCTCAATTTTAAATTAATTGTAAGATAAATATGATTGCAAATGGCTTATACAATTTATTACAAATATTTAATAGATATATATATACATACTACAACTTGCACACATACACTTCTTATTTATAATAGATTTTATTTAATAATAATATATACGTCATGAAATTTTGTGAAATAAATATTGCCAACTTCTTATAAAAAGGCTCAAAGAATCTAAGACCGAATTTTTTTAATCTATTGGCAATTCCGTTTGAACAATTTTGTTTTCTACAGAACACTGTTTGTTTAGGGAATCATATTTATTTGCAATATTTACTATTTCTCGAAGCGTGGCATTTTCCTCTTTTAAAGAATGGAATGCTTCCTTTTCTTTTAATTCATTTTCCTCGTCTAAGGCAGCAGCTGTTTTCATTACAGCTGCCATTTCATTAATTTTTTCTGCTTGACTGGTTATTATCTGTATAAAAAGTATATAAAGGAAACATTATATTTTGCACTCTAATTTATTTTCAATTAATTAATAACATATTTATCCATAAACTTACATTGGCATATTTTGAATTGTACAATGATGAAAAATCAGTTTTATTAAGACGTAATAAAGAGGCCATTTGTTGTCGATATTTGGACATTATCAACTCGAGTGCATGTTGATTATCTTCTAATGCACTTCTCAATTCTTTATTTTCTGCCTGTATTTCTCGCAAATGTTTGTTTTCTCTTTGGATTCCAGCAATTAATTGCAAATGTGGTCTTTGCTTAGCTTCTGTATTTAAAATTTCTACTTCCTCTTGATACTGCAAACATAAAAAGCCATATTATAAATATCATATAACATAGAAAAGATGTATATAATATGCTATTGGTTATTCATTCTCTCTCTCTCTCTCTCTCTCTCTCTCTCTAATATGTAACAATATTTACCTGCTTCATGTTATCTATTTGTCCACATACAGCCTCTACTTCACTTATCAGAGTATCTGCTGTATTTTCATGGTCCGAGATTCGAATGACTAATTTTTTGGCATCTAATATAATTTGTTGAAATGTCAAAGACATCTGTAAATGTATTTAGATAGGTTCTCTACTTACCAAGGATTAGCTTTAATAATTATTTTTTCAGTCTTTAAACATTCATCACTTTATTAGATAATAAAATTATACAAATAAGCCGTTAATTTTTAAACAATTAAAAGCAAAATAATAGAGTCAAGTAATAGAGTGTAATTGCAAATTGCTAATTACTCGCGATACATTCTACACGAAAACACGGGCGCATTGACCTTTTAATGCAAAAGTTTTAAATTTAACCCGAGAATGCACGGAATGCAAATGTCAAGAAAAAGAGACAAAAGTCATCCATTAAAATGACTGCACTGGGAATGATTTCCATCTTGCCTTTCACGGGCTCTCTTTATTTCTAACTTTTTGCTATTTTTTTGATGCTCGAATCTTTTATTTACTCGGAGGACGATATCGCGAGGAAGGCACCCGTTGAAGCGTCTCGTGTTGTGCCTTTATTATCGTTCGCTCTCACTTAATCGCGCACGTTAGGACGACCTAAAGCTACATCATACCTTTTACAAGAGGCGATGGCCCAGGCTCAGCGACGCGCGACTTCGTAGTTCATCCGGCGATGAATTAATCGTCTCCGATGAGGTCGAGGTTATGCGGAAGATCCTACAGTTTCAATTCCCCTCGCGTATCGTCGTGCTATGGTCCCGTTTTGCGTGTATGCGATGCGTGTGTTATTCCTCGGCGTCGTATTGGTACACCTGTGCCCAACATATGTATAAATCAGCAACGTCAGCTGGTAGATCGCGCGAAAATAAGAATATATCTGTCAACGAATAAGACTGTGTATGTGTGTGTTTATATATGTATACATACACTCACCCTATATCATACATTACACGCAATGTATGTATATATACATTACACACACATATACACATATTACGCAAAATCATGATACAATGAAAAAGAAAATGGCCGTCTCGCGATTTGACATTTGCCCGCGAGAAAAATTTGCCTGGACATGCCTGATCAATCTTTTTATAGGACTCGACATTGATCTCTGAATTCGAAATATGTCCGGGAAATATTTTTAATGATATATGTAATGTGTATTAAAAGAGTTCTTCGTTAAAAATCAAATTTATTATATATACCTTTTCCTCCAAAGATCAAACCCTTTGTAATGTTTTGGCAGACTTTATTCGAAGAAAAGTGAAAAAATAAAAAAATAAAAGAGAAACATGTTTTAACATATTTATCATTTTTTTGTTTATAAATTTTACGCTTAAATGATGCTTGAATAGCTTGTGGTTATGAAGATATCAATTTGGGCGAGTTTACCGGTTACGTCAATTGACCATAAACTATATATTTACACTAGACGTCGTGATAAAACGAAACACGACTCGAACGCTCCCCATTGGACGCTGCAAAAGTTCGTTTAATCAACCAATCAAGAAAGAATTTGATCTGTCAAAACGCATATAAGAAACTAATCAAATGTCTAATATATAGAATGCCAAGAATAATTTAAGCAAATTTAAAGAACATTTTTTTTATATTAAAATAATAAAAATAATAATAACTCCTTCTTTATATATATATATATATATATATATATATATATATATATATATAAAAGGAAATAAATACTGAAAATTATATTATAAAAAAATTAATAGCGCGCAATATTTTAGTAAAAATTTAAATTTGATTAGCCACAAAAAACAACATCAAAAGGAGCTTAAATTTCCCTCCCGAATGATTAAATTTTAATCTTTAATGTCCAATCGAAGCGCACCCCTTGATGCGGGAAATCTTTGGTAATCGTTACCGAGATGGGAAACTCGAATGATTGCTCGCGCACGCATGCGCGGTAGGAAGCTATGCGACAGCCAATCAACGTCGCGCTCATCGAGATTACTCGATGTTGATTGGCTGTCGCGTGGTTTTCTATCGCGCATGCGTGCGCGAGCAATCTTACCCGCGTTTCCCATCTCGGTATCGATCATCAAAGGTTCCCGCATCGAGGGGTGAGAGAGATAAGCTCTTCTCGGTTCGAATGATTTATTCGTTTGTTCCACGTATAGAGGACTGCGAAGTACTCGCGGACGAGGCGCGTCGATAGCAAGAGAGAACTTGTAATCACATCGCCGTCGAGGATCGTGAAAGAAAGGGATCCCGCGCGCGCACGTCGAGGCTAATAATGTTTAAGAGTGGTCCCGATACGCAGCGTTGAATCGACGATCGGGAAGTTTTAGTGCAACCACGGTACACGACGACGACGACGACGGCGACATAGCGTGCGACTAGGTACCGTGATGTAAATAAACGTACGCGCGATACGATCAGCTGCTGTTCCGATTCCGCGACTCTCGTGGCCCCCGCTGAGGAAGAACGCAATCTCCAAGTAAGAAACTGCGCGATATATACGAACAACCGTTAGTCGCGCACACGTACACACAGATACATATATATTTATATATATATATGCATATACCCACATACACATACACACACGTACGCGCACTTATCCGCCAGGCTCGCGCGAGATAGACAGAGAGAGAGAGAGAGAGAGAGAGAGATAGATTTTTCCCCGAGTACGTACGCTCTTGGCGCGGCTCCCGCGACTTCCTGCCTTCCTCGCGCGCCAGCCGATCGTCCCGTGTTTTTGTTTCTCGCGCGTGGCGAGCGAGCACGACAGTAGGATGTTTCGAGCGTCGCGCGCGTCGTGAGGAAAAATCCAAGAGAGAGAATCTTGGCCGTCCCTCTCGTTGGACGAGGAGGCGAGAAAAAAAGGGGAAGAAGGAAACGAGTGGAGCGGGAGACGAGGAGAAGGAGGAATCGACGTCGAGTCGACGACGATCTGAATCCGCGGGCGCCCGAGATAAGCACGGTCGGAGGACGTCGGGACATCGCTCCCCCCCTCCCTCTCGATCGCCCCGTCGACGGGATCGCAGGATGGCATCGTCCACGGTGGCCGTTCCGTCCGGGGCCGCCGCGGTGCCGCCAACGAGCAACGGCGGCATCGCCACCGCGACTGGCACCGAGGAGCTCGACGGCGACATGTTCGGCGAGCGCAGCTCCGTCAACTCCGTCGGCGGCTACAACAGCGGCAACCCCGGCGATGCCCTGGAGGAGATAACGTGCGGCAACGGCGAGGCCAACGATCAGGGCTGCGCCTTGTGCATGAGCAAGCTGTGCTCGCCCAGGGTGCTCTCCTGCCTCCACGTGTTCTGCGAGACTTGTCTGGACAAGCTTCTCATGGACGAGGCCGGGGACTCGAAGGTGGGCTCGATCATAAGCTGTCCCGTTTGCCATCAAGAGACTTCCGTTAGTTCTAAGGGCGCCGCGTCGCTCACGTGCGACTACGTTCTCACCAATATATTGGACATGTCCGCTATCGAGAACATGGCAGTACTGTGTACCTCCTGCAAGGCCAAAGAGAGCGCCGTGGCGCGTTGTTCGGATTGCGCCAATTTCCTGTGTCCAAATTGCAACACGGCGCATCAGTTTATGCGTTGCTTCGAGCACCATAAAGTAGTTGCCTTTGAAGATTTGAAGCAATCCAACGAAGCTATTCCGATACACAAACCAATATTTTGCGAATGTCATCCTGCTGAAAATATGAAGTTTTACTGTCATACGTGCCAGGTATGTCTATGGGAAATAAATCATCATTTCCGATAAAGATTGCATAAATATTTCTCCACTAATACTGAGCTTTATAAAATTGATCAGAACACTTAAGCATCTAGGACAATTATAGTAATTGTATACCTATAATTTCAGCTACAAATTCTGCACATTGTTAGTTTTTTCAAATTAAATTTTTATAAATATAAATATAATTTTTAAATGTATAGAATATATTCATATGGAGATTGCACATTATAATTTATATAATTATATATTGCTTGAAAATTATACTTTATTCTGTACACATATGAAAAAAGAATTGAAACATTGATTGTATTTTTAAATAATTTGTAAATATAATTACTAATTGCGGAAAAAACAATAAATATCTTATAGAAATGAAAATTTATTTCGAAACAAGAAAAATTAATAAATAATATAAATACTTTCATATATTTTTATCTTTATCTTTATATATTTTATATATTTTACGTATTATTTTATATATCCTTGAATTCTATAAATTATCTCAGTTTAATTTTGATATTTAATAAAATCTCAAGTATATATATAAAGTTAAATTGTATGATTAGGAACCTATTTGCAATGAGTGTCTGCTTGTGGAGCACAAAGCACCAGAGCATCAATATGAACGACTGACAGATGCAGAACCACGACAAAAGGAAGAATTAGTCAATTTGATGGCTGATAGTAAAGCGAAAATTGTTGAATGCGATCAAGTTTCGGCACAATTGGAGAATGCACTCAGCGAACTGCAAGTACAACATGACCAAGCAAAAGATTTAATTACAGAGACTTTTCAAAGTTACAAGGCCATATTGGAGAACTGTAGAGATAATGCATTAACTGAGCTCGAAAAATTGCATTCTGACAGAGAGCTTGAAATCATGGACACTTTTCACAGGTATGTGCATGTTCCATAGGTATCTATATTTTATAAAATAAAATAATTATATGTAATACGTTTCAATACATTTAAATTTTGTTATAGCGTCGAAAAAACTGTAGAAAAAATAGAGGATGCTTGTCGTTTTACTTCAAGGCTCCTAGAACACGGCGATGCGGTAGAAATTTTGGCCCTTCGTCGTATTGTAAGAGCTCAGTTGATGAATTTAGTTAAAAATACACCAAAACACAATGTAACATTCTCTATTGAATTTCAAACGGATTATAATCAATTTGAGAATACTGTAAAGGTAAATATGCGTAATTAATTATACTTTGGATCAAATTAAATTATATCAATATATCCCACAAATGTATCATGTATGATATTATAGGAAGTATTTGGAAAATTTCATACTGAAAGTACACCGGAAGTGAAACCTATTCCTGAACCAATTTCAACGGTATCAGGAGTATCTACAAATCAGCCAATGGTTCATACTACTTCAATGGGTTGTCCAAGTTCCATCAGCACAAGCTCTCCCATTTCACTTCCCACGTCAATGCAATCCTCTTTTGAAGGTGAACCCTCATTTGTTATACCACCGACTTCGAGTCCTCAAAATATTCCGCCACCTCCACCACCCGTACCTCTTCCACCAGGTACAGTTCCTATCCATGGGCTGACTAGTATCCAAGAATATAATTTACAACAACTGGCCAGTTTAGCGGAGAAGGTAGAGATGGTGGGTGACACTGGTGTAGTTGGACCTAGCTCAAATCCTAGTCCAACTCCGTCCTTTACTTTGGCAGACTTATTTGCTGGGGATCTAAGTTCAACAAGCCATGCCATCAATAATTTACAAGCTCTTGCAAAATTAGGAAATACTCTTGGTAATCAAGGTAAGGAATACAATTAAAAAATGAACAATTAATTTTTGAATTGCTGCAGTTCATTTTTGTACTATCCTCTCTTCCGCAAATGCTTAAATAATTTTTTATGAAACAGATATTCTAGAATTACTACAATCTATATTTTTCAGTTTTTCAGTACACATTTTGTATACAATGTATTTAATTATTATTAATCATGTGTTTTATCTACGTATACTTCTGTTCTCTTTATATAATTAAAAACCTTTTTTTTTTATAATTTACATATAAAAATTAAAAAATTTTCAAAATTACACGAGTTATATTACCATTATCATATGGTCATAATGTACCTAATTTTATCTAAATTTATTTCAAATATGTAGATCTGGGAAATGCTACTATTAATGGTGGTAGTGGATTAGTATTGGGACGTGGACCTTCACCAGCCATTGTAGATACCCCAAGTCTGGGTCCTTTGGCTGCCAATAGTCTATTAAATGGAGGATTTCAACCATTGTCCTCTTCTACTTCACCGATACTTTCACAGGGTGCTGGTAAGATTACTCTAATATCTGTATAATTGATATTAATTAAAAAAAAAATTAATTAAAAGAAATCAATTTTATTCATTAAATAACATAGTAAAAATTATAAAAAATAAAAATAAAATGATCTTGGTTAAATGCACCAAGTAAAATAGATGCATATGCCGTGTTTTTCGTTTAAAATTTCGCGTACAATTAAAAAGAATTTTTCAGGCATTTACCATCCTCTGTGGCTCGTAGACGCTAGTTTTCTTATCATGTTATTGAATATATAACGAGCCTAATTCCTTTCGATTTAAAAATAAAATGGTTTTAAATTATTGCATTTGCTTTTATTAATATTGATATTTTATTTTTAGATGACTTAATAGGCGATTCTATGCATAACATGCCTGTAGTAGTAGGAAATACCGTTGCCAATGTAACTGGATCAGGGACTGGGAATTATCCTGCCCATCCTAGGTCTCAGAATACGAAATTGACGCCTATGCATATCCGGAGCAAGTTTGGACAATTAGGACCCAGTAAAGGACAGTTTAATTCGCCTCACGGATTTTGTCTGGGAACTGATGAAGATATTATTGTTGCAGATACGAATAATCATAGGATTCAGGTAATTATCTTGTATAATGTATAAAGACAACTACATTTCTTTATAGGGAAAAAATAGATTAATAAGTCTTATAATAAATTATATACATTTTATGCATATTAATTTCAGATTTTTGATAAGACTGGTACTTTCAAATTTCAATTTGGTGTTCCTGGTAAAGAAGAGGGACAATTGTGGTATCCTAGAAAAGTGGCTGTTATGAGAAATAATGGCAAATTTGTTGTATGTGATCGTGGAAATGAACGATCTCGAATGCAGATATTTACAAAGAACGGTCACTTTATCAAGAAGATCGCTATTCGTTACATCGATATCGTAGCTGGCCTAGCTGTTACCAGCCAAGGACATATTGTGGCTGTTGACAGTGTGTCGCCAACTGTGTTCGTAATCAGTGATACAGGAGATCTTTTGAGGTGGTTTGACTGCAGTGACTATATGAGAGAACCAAGTGATATTGCAATCAGTGGTAGGCATCATCTTTGTCCTTTTGCCTTAATATATAATTTTTACAATACATGTAACAAAATTACTATTAATAATTGACAATTTATCCTTAATAATTTTTTTTTATTCACATATTGCAAAAATTTAATAAATTTATAAATAACGCACAGTTTACAAAAGTTTAATATAATTGATGCACGCGTATAAAGGCGTGATATAATAATTTATAATTCTACACGACTAAATTTTTAGGCAAAGAATATTTTGTTTGCGACTTCAAAGGACATTGTGTCGTTGTATTTAATGAAGAGGGTAAATTTCTGCGTCGCATTGGCTGTGAGAATGTAACAAACTTCCCAAACGGGATCGATATTAGCGACGCAGGAGATGTATTAATTGGAGATTCACATGGTAATCGTTTTCATGTAGCTGTCTTCTCCAGAGCTGGTTCTTTAATCTCAGAATTTGAATGTCCATATGTAAAGGTAAGAGAGAGCATACATTGTTGTAGAATTTTAATAATTTAAAATATGTTATATAGGCATATTTTTTTTAAATATATTATTTGGGTGTGCCAGTAATAATGTAATAACTTTTGTACTGGTTAGTTACATACATAAATTAATATATAAAGGTTAATACATAAAGAAATGCTTGATAAATAATTTAAAGTTAATATTTTTACAATTTACATTGCATTTCACATTTTATATTTTACTCATCATTTTACACACTAATATGTTTAAAGATGTAGTAATTTTAAAAACTTTTTATAACAATATCTGCATGTTTTGATAATACAATGTTGTATCTTATAGGTGTCTCGATGTTGCGGTCTGAAAATAACTTCGGAAGGATATATTGTAACACTGGCCAAAAATAACCACCATGTCCTTGTATTAAACACTCTTTATATATTGTGAAGTGGCATCAGACGAGTAAGTATGTTGTAACTTTCTTCTGCAAGTGAAAACTTCTTTGGAAACTGCTCTCAACGAAAGATGGGAAGGGCATGCCCAAGGCATTACGTTCCAATTTTGGGCCTATTGAAGCAATAGAAACAAGTGCAGCATGCAGCTTTAATAGTTATAAAAATATAATGCGTCCCCGTTTTATGAAAGTAACAATATTGAAAACAAAAAAAAGCAGAAAGATAATGTACGTCTCCGACCAAACAGTATAATAGTAACTTAGCAATTTGCATTTTGGTAAACTGCCAAAGTAAATTAAATTAACTAAGTGGAACCAGTTTATTGAGAAAAAGAAAGAAAAGAAGGAGCAGTAAGCTATAATCGACCAACCGGTCAGTTGGGTCGCTTGTAGTAGCGAAAGCAATTTACAATGGCCTTCCGTCAAAATTGGTTGTTGTACATCATTTTTGACACACGTCAGTATTTTAAGTATGTTTATAAATCAAATTATTCTAGTCTCCGACGAGCACTTTTTGCGCGCTGGTTTCGATTCGTGCTCGAAACAAGACGTTCTCTCGTCTTGATTTTTTATTAATCAAGAATGTTTGTCTTCTTAGTCCTAACTGATGCTTCAAGATGCATATATAAGTACAGAGATTATGTTTAAAAGGTTTTCCTTTAAGAGCTTCTATAAGTAACTAATAAGCTCACAGCAGGATAAAAATTTCATGATAAAAGGATCAAAATTTTTCGCTTAAAAGAAAAATAAAAAATGAAAAAAAGAATGTTGCATGCTGCGAGGTAGTTGATAGTACTTCCTGCTCTTATCATATCGTATTTCTAAAGAAGAGAGAATGAAACGATACTCCTCATTGCAGCAGGCACAAAGCTTAATAAGAGCCATGTTCCTGATTTCTTTCTGCGCGTTTGAAAATGATAGTTGAGAACATAATATAAAAACAACGTTAATGTGCAAGGAATAGATTATGGTATGTTGAAAATCAAACATTTAATATCTTATATAAGAAGTGTCATACAGAGAGGATACACTTTGAACATAAAAAAAAAAGGAAATAATTATAATATTTACATTTACGAAAAAAAGAAAAAAACGAGTAGATCCCATTTGTGCATTGTTAAAATTAGACGAGACACATAATGGTTACAATATTTACTCAGGATGCTTTATTATGTGTGGTCCATCATATGAATATGAACATATATGCGTGTGTGAATTATATTGGTTTGTGGTGCTAGTGAATAATGTATCCATACCGTGTAAATGTATTTGTTATAAAATTACAGAAATCGTTCCCGCGCATTTTTTTTACAAAATGAAAGGCAACGATTTCGCGTAATATATTATATAAGATTCGTAAGAGTACCATATACCACCGGTATCATAGGGACGATACTTTATCTATGTAAAGAAAAAGAACGTACAGTTTGCTAAACAACCTCTATTTATGTATATAATTAACATGAGATCCATTGAAAAAAAAAAGGGAAAAGTAAAATCACATAAAACACATACATATATAGAAATACACATATTTTTTAGGGTTGTTTACATGATCAGCCTTAAGATTTGATTGAACTAAAATGCAATGTGTATACAACATATGTAAATCGGATATTTGGCAGATTGCTACATACTGTGTTACCTTACATTATCTCTACAATAATGTTTAATTACAAATACTATCTTGCCATACCAAATGCTAGGTAGCACACACATTCATATATACATATATAAATATATATATATATATACACATAAATATATTATATATATGTATATATATACTATATATTTAATATATATACATATAAAATATATATATGTTTATATTTATACTTGACTAGCTTTATCAGATTCGTTTGCATACACGGGAAATTTTCGATATAATATCTGATTTCATTATTCATACGAGACAAAAGTAAAGAGGAAAAAAAATCAGACGAATGAGAAACACACAAAAAGAGCAGTACTAGGAGGCTATTTTAAAGCTCGCGCATATAACATCGGCATTTGTAGTAAATTGCACGAAGCCTACGTATACATACACCTAAGCTAATCAGTCGTACTCATCTTTCGTGTAACATTAGAAGTTTTAATTTTATATGTAAAAAGGAAAAAAAGAAAAGAAAAACTAATTCTGAAATATTTAATAGTCATGATTAGCAGAGTTATATAAATAATGCCTGTGATAATAGTATCGTCAGGATAAGTTGTGTCCTTAAAGAGTCTCTGATGTTGTTGCTAGGTAAATATATTGATTAGAAGTGTATCAATGTGAGATTACCATTGTGGTGCCGTCTGGAAGGTGTGTCTCACAAGCACAATAACACCTAAATGCAGAGAGCCATCAATCGTCTCTCCGATGATACACATTAAATATAAAAAGGAAAAAAAAGATATTCAAAATAAAAGAGAGAACACATGTTGCAAAAATTTTTGCCAGTCATATTAAAAACTCATAGCGTGTAACGAATGGATGACCATTAACGAGAGGGTCTTTTACCTCACAAAATTATTATATTACGCTCACACCTTATATATACTTGAATATTTTAGTATAGATTTACTCTATTTACATATTTTTATCTGTGGAAGACTACTTGGCTAATTTAGGCCACTGTTGAAATTCACCCCTTATTTGCCTTGATGTTTAAATTACAACAATAATATAAAGAAAAAAGAATAATAAAGAACGAGAATTACTTGTTACGTAAATGGTAATTGTGATAGATTTTTTGATGATTTTTACAATCTCAAAAGTCTTATTATATCCTAATATGTATAGAATTATATAGTCACTCTGTACGTAATAGATAAACTTTGCTTACATTGTTAAACTAATATTTAAAAAAAAGAAGCTCTCATATAACTATATCCACACTAAACAGTTTTACAACTGACGGTGTAATCGAAGAGAAGATCGTATTTTGGATATATGCAATAGGTTTCCGTGTATTACTTTAGCAGTACTATTTTTATTGCTATACAAAACTTCCAAGGCCTTTTAGGTGCCACAGAGTTTCTCTCCGATTTAATTTCAAGCAGAATTATTTAATTTTACGTATGACCGGATTTTTTTCTTTTTTTTTTTTTTTTCTTTTTTTTTATGCGCTGTGCAATTTTATTTTCGGTATCATTTACTTTCGTAACTGTAGTAATTGTCATTTGTTTTATTTATAAATCAAAATTGGCACAAATAATATGTTATTTATTCTTAATTCAAAATTTACTTTTAACATGCCGTTTTACAAACACTAACTATTTTACGATACAACACACGAGGAAGACAATTACGAGCATTCAAAAAGCTGCTCTACTCTAATCTAAAAATAAAATTTAAAATTGCGCAAGACAAAATATTTGTCAATCATAAAATATGTCGTGTATTCGGAGAAGAAAGGAAAATTGTTGCTATATATCATACACGTACACACACACACACACACACACACAGACACGAATATGTTCCTGATTTTGAAAAGAAAGAAAATCGCATATATTATACAATAAGAATTACTGCTGTGCGAGGTTCATAATGACATCTACAATTATATAAATGATAGGATTAACATGACACGACATAAACTGAATTCTAGCCTACGGTTAATCATAGTCTTCCTAGAATCCTAAAAAAAAAAAGAGTTATGACTTTGCTATATTGATTAGGGCATGGCCAATTAACATTATATAGCTGGTTATAAATGAAGAGAAAGCGTAACAAAAAAAAGGATTATCTTACATTAAATTAACAGCAAATCACTACATTTTATTACACATGGCTTATACATTAAAGATCCGTGATCATTTTTTTTTCTTTTTTTTCATATCTTTCAGCATAATTTAAGTTATACATATTTATACATATTTGTAAGTTATTATATATTGACAGAAAAAGAAAGAGGGAAGAAAAGTCTATGATCAAAAAGAAAAAAAGACAAAAAAAAACGAAAAAAGAAAAAGTTATAGTTATTGTATTATGTGGTAAGCGTTCTGCATTATTTTTGTAACAATATTTTTATTCCTTACTCGCGCGCTCATATACATCGTCTTATATATCACTAATTTTATCTTTATGCAAGCATTATGTGTTCGATTGGCTGTTTCCGACGCTATTATAGCGTACTCTTATCCGGATACATTAGAAATAATTCCTTCGGCAAATATATATTGCCAGAGGTTTATATATATACGGTTGAGCTTTGCTCCATTTTGATCTATCACATTTTTATTTATGGTATATTTAACTAAAAAAACACGGAACTGCTTCCATATAAATGTGTATTTATATTATTTATATATTGTTTTGTTTAATTGGTTTTATAAAAATTTCTCGATGTATCTCTCTTATTTGAGATAAATAATAAAGAAAAAGAACGTTATCGCGGTTTCTATTGCACAACAATTTATTTGCATTTTAGTTGTGTTCTTTTTCACGTTTATTCGTTTTTGCTTTAATTTTTTAATTGTTGTCATATTTTCACTTTTTTGTTTCTTTTTTTCTTTGTTTCAAATACTCAATCTGAGGTGGGATGACAACGAATTGTATTACAGCTTGTCGTACTACTTCATTGAAAGAAGCAGAAGAGAGAGCGATTATATAGTTCGTATAAATGTAACGAGTATTCATATTAATTGTAACTTTACGATTTAACTGCATTCCAAAAATCAATCATTTTATCCTTCACATACACATTTTATGAGATAGATAAATTAAATTCTTTAGTGCCAAAACAGACTAATCAGAGTATTTATATAACATGTATATTGCTTATGAATTGTTTTTATTCCTTATAAGTTTATTTTATTCGTCTCTTTTGAGTTTTTTTTTTCGCGTCGTGTCAGGATATCGAAGTTTTTAGAATAAGAAGACAAAAATTATAAGATTAAATCCTTGCTTAGTCAGTTAAAGTACAAATATTTAATATATTCTATCTTTAGACGATAAGTGTAACGCGAAAGGCGTGTTAAAAGGCGTATATACTGTTACTTGGTTTCATTCCTCAAACAGCACTAGCTTTATTTATTTGCATTAGTTTACACAATGTAATACTTAACAGGCTGAGAAATGAGGGTAAAAGAGAAATGCTTTCGCCATTGCCCTGTATATACATACACAGACACACATACGCGTGTAATATTTATTTTAAATATTACAACACACGTTCCTTTTGGAGGTACTTTGTTTACATATCAAATTGACCACTGAACACGCGTTACATACAGTTGCATTCCAACTTGGTATGCTAAAAGGTGTCGACGTTTCAAGTAGCATACCCACGAATATACCCCTGATCTCTCCCGCGTTTCCACTTTAATTTTAAGTAGCGATTGCGAGGTTGAACGAGAACAACTTTCTGCGGTAAAGCGATTGCATTTATTTGCCGGCATTACATCGATTTCGTTCGTAGAAGGCTTTTCTTGTTAGCAACGGATTGACTTGTCATAAACGCGGAGAATAAGCATCTGTTGTAACGTCAAGAGCGATCGCTTTACCGAAAGTTTAGCCTGGTACATTTCTCTACGCAAAATTAGTTTAGCATTAGTTTTTCTCGGATTTATATCTAACACACATGAATAACATGTATTCGGAATGAACATTTTTTTTTCCAATTATTTTTAACTTGTATTATACACAACATTATATCTGTAATAGAGCTGTCTTGTGTGCGAAAACTGATTATGGATTACGCTGTGTAAACCATGTTTTCCTGAAACCTCCATTGGTATTTTGCATAAGAAACGAACTATATCTCCGGAAAAGGAAAAGATTTTAAATGTTCCGACATCACACTTCTACTTCAAAATGTAAACTGTATGAGAATAGTACAACTGATGAGAAAAGATAAATTGTAATGCAATATGGAAAGCGTGAAATATATACCGATATATTTTTTATATGCTAATGGGATGCCAAGGAGCATGGTCACCTTGTAATGTATTATTTAGAGCTATACACGTCCAGGTCGCGCGACTGTGTACACACAAATCAGTTTCCTCGAAAACTATTACTCAGCCTTTGTATTAAGCACCTTCTCTATCCCCTGTCGTCGGACTTGAATTTCAAAGTATTTCAATATGTATCTATCTCTTAGTTTACGAGTTTTACGAATTTTTAATCTTCCAAAGTTTATCAAGGCTAGTCCCCGAGATATCTGTAACACAGATCTACAACTCTCTCTTTTTTTTCCTGTTTTTATTTTTCTTTTTATTTACGGCATATCAGCTTTTTTTCTATATATATCTTGTATCTATCTACAAAATTTTAAGTTTCATTTTTATATAAAATATATTCAAATTTAATGGTATTATACGTATACACATCTATATACACTTTTACAAAAAAAAAAGGAAAAAAAATATTTTAATCTACATACCGTATTACATAATTAAAGATATGGGACATTTGCTACTTATATATATATTTGTCAAATGTATTATATTGAAAATATTTTATTATAGGATGGACACAGAATTTAGCCTTAAAAAAAAAAAAAATAAATGCTCTCCGTTGATCGTACATTGCTTCATCATATCAACTCAATTTGCCATTGCCTGTCAATTCATATGTACTATCCTATACTAAGATATTCTCAAATGATATATCACTATATGCAGTTACTTGAAACGTGTAGAGATATACATTCTTGTCTGCGCATAGGCTGCAATGCAATAATAATATATTGTGATGCTCACAAAGCACATAACACATTTTACCAAAATTGTAATGTTTAAATATTTCATGTGATTTTGGAGAAACTGTTATATATTTTTTATTTCCTGCCAATTGTTTAATTTGTAATGTTGTTCTTTGTTCTTTTTCAATAAAGTAATCAACTAAATATCAAATTCTTTTTATTCACAGCAATCTCCTGGGACGCGATTTAATTTATGCGAAACGACTTGTGAATTTTCTCAACTCGATGTTTTTTTTCACACGATATTTTTATCACCGCATTTTTATGTTTACAGATATATTTTACGTAATTCTTCATAATTTCGACAATCGTTAGTGATATTTGTCTAACAAACAGTAACGACTTGGTACAGGCCTACACATATATAACAGAGATAAATTATTACACTTTAGATGTCTTTATTCGAAATCGATATATCTATACATACAGATCACTGTATTTTGGAAATATATTTATTCAGAGCCGGAGTCCTTTCTGCCGTATTGCTGTTTTGGTAATTCGTCCTGTAATTCGAGAACGTGTTCTATGGGTTTCGGTTTTCCATCGTCGCCGATGCGGCAAGGACGCACGACTCCCTCCCTAAACAACATTATTTCGATATATTTTTTTATATATAAAAAATTACGACCACACATTGTAGCGTTTACAGATGATATTACAGATTTACATATATATACATATTTAAAAAAATAGTAATATTATAAATGCGTAAAAATAATGGCTTTAGGATTAGACAACTGATATGATTGTATATCTCACGCATATCTTTTTAATCTGTGACAAATAAATAAAGTCTCAATGCACAGCTCACCTCGTTAACTTGTCAACAAGATTTACTAGTTGTAAGGCTTCGTATTCCTTTTGCACATCTGTCATACCTTCAAGCGGATTTGATTTGGGACTCTCGAAACATCCGGTTACTGGGTTTATTCTTGATATGAAGAACATTATTTGTAAAATATCCGAGACAAAATTTCACCTTTGAAATAAATCTTGTACTTACTGCTCTTTAACCTTTAGATATTCTTCCGTTTCACTGTCTTCCGATTCCGAAGAATAATTCGTCTCCGTCTGGCTAGACTTTGCTAATAGTCCTTTCTTAGCGAACATACCTGCCGCATTTCCATATCCTGTATATTTCACCATGCGACTAACTGTAGAAAAAATATTTATTATATTATAACTGCGATATTCTGGATATTCTGGCAATTCTGGTAATTGTGGATGAAATCATCCTGTAAGAATTATATAATATTTTAATAAAACAGATAAATACCATTCTCTTTACAAAGAATAAATAAAAGTTCTGCGACTAGGTCACGTAATTCTGTGAGAGGTGAAGTTAATAATTTACATAATTTGGCTCTCAATGTCGTTCCTTCTTCAGGGCGATTCATCACATCTTTTAATGGAGGTAAAATCTGAAATTAAAAAATTTATATTTTGTATTTGTAAATTATATATATATATATATATATATATATATATATATATATATATATTATATAATTGCATTATATTAATTTGTACTATATTTGTAAATTTGAAAAATTTTAAATTTATATTCTATGCTACAATTCTCTCTCTCTCTCTCTCTCTCTCTCTCTCTATATATATATATATATATATATATATATATATATATATATATATATATTATATATGAAAAATGTGATCAAGATTTTTTTAAAAAATTTATTATTTCTGATAATTTTTTTCTGAGGACAAGAATTTTTTTCCAAATTTTTCTTTTTTATGATTTTAATACATTACTCTCATGAAAAAAATTTAATTACTCGAAAAATAATATCTCAATTTGAGATTGTGAAATTTTACCTGCAGTCTTACATATTTGCGAATAATCCTCTTTGATTTGACGAGTCTAATTAACGCAGTAACTATTGGAGAGATATTTTCTATCAAATTCTTCGTATAGTCTAATCTTTGATCTAAAAATCTAAGCAAAACGCATATAGCGCTCATATCCATATTTTGATATACATTTTTGCAATCGTCGCTCTCAACAGATTGTATAATTGGTGTGTAACAACTAGATGGTATTACAGTTAATAAGTTGACGACATTGCTATAAAATAAGATAATACATACATCAGAATAGGTGTAGTTTTTCTCGCAACACACAATAGCTATTATTATCACCAAAATATATTGTACCTTTCCAAATCATCTTGTTGTATCGGATATTTAAATATTAATAATTTATATAAAATTAATACTAAATTTTTATATTTCTCTTGATCTTCAACTCCAGTATCATCAGAATGTATATACAAATTAAATAGAACTTTTAAAACTTCACAAATTATCATTATTTCTTCATTCTGAAAATAATATTTAAGGTCATTTTTAGATATAAATATGTATATATAAATATATATCCGCGTATATAAACTTACAATATGTAATAAATTTCTTTACCTTAATTACAGTTGTCTTATTATCACAATTTTGTGTCACAAATTCCTCTATTATTTTAATAAGACATATATCACCACATAAGTCAGTTTTGACTATATCCCTTGTAGATATATTTAATGCAGTAAGAAGAAATAGTATTCTCATGTCAAATAATTTGACATTGTAGGGAACATTAGTTGTATAGTTTTTAACACGATCAATAAGATAAGGCAAGGAAGATATTAATACTTTCGATTGTTGCACTTTTAGACTATTAAATAATAAATTGCACAATAATTTTAGTGATTCTATTGTAACTGCAATTAAAAATATTTATGTATAAAAATACATATATCATTTAATAAACGTAAACGGCATAAATACATGTAGAAATTATTCTAGAATATTTATACATAGTTTTAAGATTAAATTATTAATCCAAAAATATATATTGCATTTATCTGCCTAATCCATAGAAAAAATTTTCCAGTTATTGTTACCAATTGTATATGAGATTTGGTCTTCTTCGCATATTTTTGTCAAGACTGCATTTTGCAATATAATTTTTATTGCTTCGTCAGTAATTAAATCATTCAAATTGGTTTTATCTCGACTAAAACAAAAATGTGTAAAAATTAGATCAAATGTACAAAAATATAGCTTATGTATATAGATTAAAAAAATATATATTTTAATAACAAATTAAATAAATGATCTGTTTCTATATGACATATTCATATTTTTCTCAAATCAATCTTTAAATATAAGGACAATTAGAAAAAAATGATTGTAACATTAGGCTAAATATAATACTGTAATTAACTGCTACATAATATTCAATGATAGAATAAATTATAATCTATTTCTTATTCCAATATTATATTGCAATATGATAATTATTTCTTAAAGAGATTTTAATAATTATTAAATATTTTTGTAAATTGTCAATTTAGTGATATATTATAGATATTTTGCATTGCTGTAATTATTCCATGAGATATATATCTGTAATATAGTCAAATTACCTAAGTATTCTCAAAGCAGCTAAGCAATGATGATGATGATTTAAATGAGTGTAATCTGTTAAATAATAAAACAATCTCTTCCATAGCTTCTCTCGTAAACAGTTATTATTCAACTCTTCAAAATTAGTCTTCTTATCATACTAAAACATAAGTTGCAAAACATGAATAATTCGTTTACATTATTTTTAAAAGAATAAAAAATTGAGAATATCTTTCTAAATAAATATTAATTCATAGAATAAAATAAGTAAAATAAAGAAAATTAATTTTTGAATGATTATGACATAGAATGTTTAAATTTTATCACACAAAATTGCTGCTAAAGTCAATGAATTAAAATGAAATAAAATTGCTGTAAAGTTTTCAATATAAATTTATAAGAAATATATATTTTACATTTCGCAATCACATGTATACTCATATATATCACATGATATACTCACAATTTCTAAAAACACAACAATACTGTCACAAAATTCCTCATATGTGCCGGAAATTAATTTCGAAATCAACTCGTCCGTGTTAACCTTTTCCATATCCGTTTTCTTTTAATAATAAGCACTTTCGGATAGCATTATATATTTCATTTCATAATAAATCCAAATGGGATTAAAGTTTGACAGGTGAAATCTCGCGAAGAGAAAACGCATTTAACAAGAAATGTTTCCATCAGGCAGGTCACAATTGTATCCGCCATCTGTCAACTTTATAACATATATACTTCAGTATCGACTGATAGTACATACGTCTATATATTTGACTTTCTACATTATCTTCTGCAGGTTTTTTAAAAAAAGCTCGAAGCTCTCTATAAATACAATATACTCCGAGGTTTAAATGACAGTTCGTGTGCTGCTACATATTGCAATCTGTCACTTCGATAAAAGTGATGGGAGTAATAGCAAATCTTGCCTATTAGTTTTAGTTATCCGACAAACGATTTACACTTGAAATAAATATTAGACTGAGAATAAATGACTTTTTTAATCCATTCGTGAAAATTAAATAATGTGTATATATATTAATCGCATATGGTATTAATCGTTATCGCCTAAAAAATAAAATTTAATTTGTATTGTACGTGTACTTGTTTTCAAAGATTCTAAAAATGGAGCAGATAAAGATTCCTAAGGTACTAACGAGCACTAAGCGCGATTTTTAATTTAATATTCATTTTAATGCTTTATCTAATTCTGTCAGTAACAAATTGACAGATAGCTGAATGTCAGGATCACATGTATAAATTTTATATTTATTAACATTTCTTATTATAATTAAGCTATACTGAAAATAAATGCGGTAGTAACTTTTTAAAAAGCTTCCCTATTTTTATATTTATGTACATAGTATAAGTTTTCCAGGAAACAATACGTTTGCAGGTAGAAAACGTGAGAATGTTGGATAAATATAGCAATAATCATTCCATCGGTTCTCTCTACTTGACAGTGACACATCTCATTTTTGTTGAAAGAAGCGGCAAGAAGAAAATATGGGTAAATTATATCAAGCTCAATATCTATTGATCAGTTTGAGATAAAAATAATGATTTTTTTAATGTTATAATTGCAGGTGTTATATACACATATCTCTAATATAGAGAAACAACCATTAACAACCACAGGATCACCATTGTACATTAAATGCAAACATTTCTTCATTGTTACATTTGTTATTCCAAAGGAACGTGATTGTCATGAGATTTATCTCACATTATTAAAATTATCTTGTCCAGGTAACACATATTTATATCTCAATCTTCTTTATTAGTACCTCCTAAGAATCTTTTAAGTATTAACTAATAAATATATAAATATTAATTAAATTTTTTAATTAAACTGTATTTGTTACATAATATACATTTTAATATACATTTTAAGAAGCAATTATTGACATTGATCTCTTGTTTCTTGTATTAGCTAGTTTAGAAGACCTGTATTGTTTTAATTATCAAGAAAGCGAAGACACACTACCTCAACATGCAGGATGGAATTTTTTCAACGTGCAGAGTGAATTTCAACGACAGGGTGTCCCGAACGAAGAATGGTCACTTTCATATTTAAATACTAATTATGAGGTATATACCTTCCTCTATTTCTATTCCAAACGTCTGTTTTCCCTTCTCAATATTGTTAATTAAATCATATAAATTCTTTCAGCTTTGCGATACTTATCCAAGGTATTTATATGTTCCTAGTACATGTACTAACAACATTTTATTGGGTAGTGCAAGATTTAGAAGCAGAGGAAGGTTACCAGTTTTAACATATTTGCATTCAAACAAGGTGAAAAAAAAGATAAATTGAATGTAGCACTTGAATAAAAACATTTCAAATAAAATAATTTTTTAGGCTGCTATTTGTCGCTGCAGTCAACCACTCTCGGGATTCAGCACAAGATGTCCCGAAGATGAACAAATGATGTATAATATATTATGTACAAATCCTAATTCGAGATATATGTATGTTGTGGATACAAGACCGCGGGTGAGTATTCAATTAAAATATAACTTTCTGTTGCAAAACTGAATGGAGACATTAAAATCTTATATTATATCTCTTATATATATATATATATATATTGTATATTATCTTTTTCTATTTTTATAATAAAAAATAAATTTTTTTAAGCATCTAAAATTTTGGAAAGCACAGTTTATTTACGATCACTATTTAAATCGAATTAATACTTAATTATTTCATTGATAAATGTATTATAAGTATATGAGATAGTAGTTTTGTATTTTCATTTTCATAGAAAATGTAAGAGAGGGGTATTTTTAAAAATTGAAACATAATTTGTATTTTTTTATCGTATTAGATTAACGCCTTTGCTAATAGAGCCGCGGGAAAAGGATACGAGAATGAAAATTTCTACGACAATATTAAGTTCCATTTCTTCGGAATAGAAAACATTCATGTGATGAGGACAAGCTTAAATAAACTTTTGGATTGTAAGTATAAAACTTTTCTGAAAATTATCTGTATTGCAGCAATATTACAGTCGCTTTCACGTTATTCTTAAATCTCTATTTTTGTTTAAACTTAGTGCAAAGATCGACCTCCATGAGTGCGTTTTTAAGCGGTCTAGAAAGCAGTGGCTGGTTAAAGCATATTCGTTCCATCTTGGAAACTGCATGGTTTATCGCACGGGCAGTTGCAAACGGTGTGAGCGTAGTGGTTCATTGTAGTGATGGATGGGATCGCACTGCGCAAGTATGTTCTCTGGCTGCGTTATTATTGGATCCATTTTACAGAACCATCCAAGGTTTTCAGGTAAGTAATCTTGAAAAATGTATTTCTTAAAATCATTAGATCATAATATACGTACAATAATATTATTATATTAGGAGTACAAATAAGTCTCCGCCGTTTTTTATCAAAAATTGAGCATTTATTGTGAAAGAACGGTACTTTATATTTCATTCAAAGTATTGTCCATCGCTAGCCACTACTTTTTCCCATCTTTCTGGCAGCATACGAATACCGCGTCGGAAGAACTCTTCATCTTTTGAGGCTATCCACGAATCGACCCAATTTTTGGTATCTTCATATGATGTGAAGTGCTGCTCGGACAGGCCATGTGCCATCGATCGGAACAAGTGATAATCCGAAGGGGCAATGTCTGGTGAATACGGCGGGTGGGGTAGGACTTCCCAATTAAGTGTTTCCAAGTAGGTTTTGACCGGCGCCGCAACATGTGGACGAGCATTATCATGCAGGAGAATAATTTTGTCGTCTCTAGAGTGGTAGTGGGCGCGTTTTTCCTTGAGTGCTCGGCTCAATCTCATCAATTGTGTTCGGTAGAGAGCCCCAGTAATGATTTCGTTCGGTTTGAGCAACTCATAATACACAACACCAAGCTGATCCCACCAAATACACAACATGAGTTTTTTTTCATGAATATTCGGCTTGGCTGTCGATGTTGAAGCATGGCCACGTGGTTCCCATGATTTCCTCTTCTTTGGGTTATCGTAGTGGATCCATTTTTCATCACCAGTGACTATACGATGCAAAAAACCCTTTCGTTTATGCCTGGCAAGCAGCATTTCACATGTGCAAAATCGGCGTTCAACGTTTCTCGGCTTCAGTTCATATGGAACCCAATTTCCTTGCTTTTGAATCATTCCCAATGATTTTAAACGATGTGAAATTGCTTGTTGAGTCACTCTTAATGTAAGTGCAAGTTCTTCTTGCGTTTGGCACGAATCTTCCTCCAATAATGCTTCCAATTCTGCGTCTTCGTACACTTTCGGCCTTCCGCTACGTTCTTTGTCTTCGACGTCAAACTCACCGTTCTTAAACTTATGAAACCACTCACGACAACTTCTCTCACTTAAAGCAGCCTCACCATATGCTTCTACAAGCAATTGATGCGCCTTAGCTGCAGATTTCTTCAAATTAAAGAAGTAAATCAAAAGTTCCCGCAAATGACGCTTATTCAGCTCAAAACTTGACATTTTCACACGAAAAAAATTATGTGATGCTAATACAAAATCGCTAATATTTCAAGGTTATGGTATTGCCAGATGTCCAACCTTACGATATGACGTTTTACATCTGACAATTTCAACCATAACTTACTGGTGAGACCATCTTTTGTCAAACGGCGAAGACTTATTTGTACTCCTAATATTTCTTAAAATCATTAGATCATAATATACGTACAATAATATTATTATATAACAAATAACATAAAATAACAATAGAAATGTTATTTTGTATATTTGTTGTATAATATCGTTCTATTTCTCCTTCTCACAACATTCCACATACATTGTCCATTTAAATAAATATATTTTAGTCTTATAAATAATCAGTATATGATTTTATTAAAAAAAAAAATCACTTTTTAGGCTTTAATAGAAAAGGATTGGCTGTCGTTTGGTCATAAATTTAGCGATCGTTGTGGCTACATTAGCAGTGATGGTAAAGAACTCGCGCCGATATTTACACAATTCATAGATGCGACGTATCAATTGCTGCAACAATATCCGTACAAATTTCAATTCAATGAATATTTTCTTTTAACATTACACGATCATGTACACAGTTGTCAACATGGCACTTTCATCGGAAATTCGGAGAAGGAACGACAAATGCTGAGGTACTCTTTCATTCGATTTCATTCTTCACGTGTGATATAAATGAAAAAAATTCTGATAAAAATTATGAATTATTATTTCAGATTATCCGAACGAACATATTCCTTGTGGGGCTACTTGGCTAATAATACAAATGAGTATATAAGTCCAATTTATAGATGCAATCGTTATAATAATGAGGACTCTGCTGATGTTCTTCAACCTAAATTGGCACCTCAATCTATTATGTAATAAATACGTTGCTCTTATATACAACAAAACTTATTATATAAAAGCGTATAATCCATAAACATAACTCGAATTACTTTTTACAGTCTTTGGAGAGGTTTGTACTTTAGATTTGAGAATGGAATACATCCTAGAGAAACGTGCGAAAATCTGCTTTTAACAATCCATGATCACACAAGTTCTTTAGAAGATCATGTGAAACTTTTGCTAAAAGTATGTATCTCAATTTTGACAAAGAATATAAATAGATAATGTTTTAAGTGGTAAGATAAGTTTAACAAAAATGGATTGAATATTTATTAATTTATTTTTTGATTTTCGGTTTCAACAGCGAGTCAATTCTTTGGGACAACTTTTAAATACAAATAATTCTCAGAAAAAGGGAAAACATAAATTTGATAATAAATTTATGAAGGAGACTATAATAGAAAACGCTTTATCAGATACTATAATAGAAAACGCTACAAACCATGATGAAAAGATGAAAGCTAAATTAAAAGTGAATCAATTGGAGAATGAATTGAAAACAGTTGCTTTAGAATGGAAATCGTCGCGAAATATAGAAGAATGCGGATGCTCCACCACATTTGATGCCTTCAACAGAAAGGTATATTTGTTGATCTGACTTATAATTTGAAATCATTCGTTTTTTGTATTTGCGATAATTTTATTTCAGCATCATTGTTGGTCCTGCGGCGATGTATTATGCACAAGATGCATGGCGGTACACACGAAACTACCCGGACATTTATCGCAACGCGCTGTACCTACGTGTAAAACGTGCTATCAAAGTTCTGGAATATCTACCACTAGTCCATAAACTTGATACTTTATTTAAATGCCAACATATACTTATATAATCGATATTTGTATGTATATCTCCTAAGCAAAATAATGAAGAAGCCTAGTATATATCGTCAAACAGTATATTGTACTATTTAAATTTAAATTTCATATATTTGACTTTTCTATCTCTTTGAATTTTATTTTCTTCAATTTGGTCAATCAATACAAATAACGTAGTACCTGATTACACTAATATATATTATATAGACTTATTCTTAACTTAAATAACTCGATAACACATTAAAGATCGTGAATATTACACCAAATAATTGTAACGATAACGGCAAATTATTTATGCTCAACTATTATAGTAAAGTGAGTGACAAATTGATTACATTTTTCAAGTTACGTATTTTTTTAAATATTAGAAAAATGGTATATATAGTTATTAAAAGATTATAAAAACAACAATTAATTGGATAATCTGCCTGCATCACAGCTAAATGTAACTCTGCCATAATAGTCAAAGAATACAATGATTGAATCATGAAAAATCATTTTAAAATATTGGGATATATAAACATTATAATATAAATTAACGTCTCTTGTATTTGCATATTATACTATACTCTTTGCTATCTTTTACTATAATTTATCCCATTGTGACATTAAACAAACGAATGAGATGAATAAGATCAATGTTTTCAATTTTTAATTCTAAAACACATTTCATGACATTATAAGCAAGAATACATAAATACGTTATTAAGGCAGTGTCCAAATTAACGGACAGCACTCTTGCAAACTTATGAATACATATGCATTGTACATCATTCATAACACAAAAGCATATGTAATTTGAGAGAATGATTTTTCGAATATGAAGACTTGCATATATATATGTATGTATGTACATATATATGTGTAGTCAAAAATATCGATATCCTTAGACAAGGAATTAAATACTTATCGATCACATCATTGCAATGACTGAATTTGCTAGAGTGATTGATGACCACCTACTATCCACAGTAGCAAATGTAACGTGGAATGTGACAGTATTACATAAATATCAGCAAAGATCGCGTGCGCACGCGATAGTAATTTCTTTTGTAATTTTTCTTTCTATTCTTTATTTGGTTTCCTTCGTCGTGGTCCTTCACCACTGATTGGTGATGTGTCCTGCAATAATTATACACATTTTCATGTCACAATCACAACAATGAAAAAAGAAAAAGAGCATTCTGTATATTACAAAAATTTTACACTATGATAACTAAGGTTACAATTCGTCCTATAAAATACTTGAATATTTCATTACTGACCTTATCACTTTCAATTATTTCTTCTGTTCCAGTCTCTTTCTCTTTCTCTTTCTCTTTCTCTGTATCTTCTGTTTCTTCTGTAGTAGGTTTTTGCTCAGTTAGTTCGGGATTCAAAGATTGGTGATTTTCATTTTCTGCATCTTCTGCAATATCATTGCTTATTTCTAAAGGTGCTTTTTCTTCTTCTTCTTCTTCTTTGAAATCCGATTTATCCTAATATATTTTAAACAATACAAATTATTTTGGCACTTTTAAAAATATTCCTCATTCATATAATATTAATAATAAATAAATAATTCTATATAGTAATGACTTTTAATGTATTCTACAAAGCGATTTACAAAAAATTGCAAAAAATATTCATAATTTCTAAATATCTATAAAAAGATTACTTTATGCTTTTTTATACAAGAATACTTGAGTTATGCTTATTTGGTATTCAGCATATTGTACCTCTGAGAAGCAGCAAAAGTATATTATCAACACTACAGGTACTGCAGCTAGCAATATATATACTGCCCATATCCATGGATGGTCGGCAGTAAATGTCGCAATTCGATTCCATATAGTCCACTGCATCAGATAATTGCAAAATGCTACATATTATATATATGGGAAAGCCTATTATATATGCAGAAAGTATGCAAAGTCTAATATAATATTAGCAAAGCTATTGCTAATCTCTAAACAATAGCAAGATTATTTTTTTATTTTTATATATTTTTATTATTCTAGGCAGGTGAGGATTGTATGTACATGTATACTATATGTAATTTGTTGACCTTTCACGCTACATAATTGTACGACTTATTAAAAAGTCTAATTATGTAAATGCTATAAAAGTGTATAATTTATCAAATATATATTATTGCAACTTGTGTATAGGATATTACGCTTTATCAAGCAAATGCTTTTAACACGCGAATATTGTACCTCACGAAATTGTTTGTACAGATACCAGATGTAAGCTACAACTGGTATTATACAATACAAAAAATACAGTGCCCACCAGCCTGGCTTATAATTCATCGCTTTCATCATTCGACCCCATAAAGAATCCTGTGTTTACAATCCATACTAATGTAAAGAATTTTGTCAATTTTTCAAATGTGTTAATGATTAAATTCGGCAAGTTAATTATAGCTTAAATTTTTATATACTTACACTATTATCTTTATATAGCTTTTTAATGTTCGCGTAATATCGCAAAATTATATTGTTATAACGAAATATTTTCTAAACTACAAATAAAAGAATTACTTACACTTTCCTCAGCAATTTTAACACGTCGAATCTCAAAACTTTCATCCGCCCATTTCTTTGCAACTTCCTCATCATCCGTTATAATTATATTGTCAAAATATATATCAGGTGACATTGACCATAGCTCAAAACCAATAGCACTCTAAAACAATTTTACATATTAATTATAATAATTGCTAATACAATACTGGTAGAACTGAAAATTGTTCTATTGTTTACATACAATTGGTAACATCTTGAAAGGATGTTCATCATTAAAATAATCAGGGTTGTGTATAAGTCTAGGTTTCCATTTGCCCTTGTAATTAGGGTTGTTGATGAGTGGTGCCAACCATTTTCCTTTATATCGTGGATTCTTCTTCATTCTTTGCTTATAGGGACCACAACCAGGGGCGTCCGCGCATTTTGGATTCGGTATTTCCGGAGCTTCCCATTCACCATCCATCTCAACATCCCAATCATCAGGCTTAACCGAATCCGGATTCGGTATCATTGGCGGTTCATCCTCGAGCCATCCTTCAGGCATAATATCTTCCTCATCGACTATTTGCGCTGGAGCATCTTCGTCCCAATCGTCAGGTTTCTCTGCCAGTGGGTCAGGAATCTTTTCTTTATCATCCCAATCCTCGGGCTGTTTATCGTCGGGATCTTCTATCTCCAAAGGTGGATTCACGGGAGGCACAAAATCGTCTAATAATGAACCCGAATTTAACATTTTATTATCCACTTTAATTTCGTAAGTATTATCAGGCCGTATAATCAAAGTATATAGATGTGGCTGTTTATCTTTGAAATAATCTTCCAGTCGATCCTTTGATTTCTTACAGTGTTTTTCCGTGATTGTATCATTCAATGGATTTTTATGTCGAAATATAAAATGGAGCTGAAGATAAAAAATAAATATAAACTTTAGATATATGTAAATGTGTACTTGTTTGCAAGATGTTTATTGATATTTAATGTTTTACTTCTTTTTATCAAACTAGCTCAGAAATAAAAAAGTTCAATTTCTCAATTAATTTTAATTAATATTTCTGAAAACAGATCTATATAACATATGCATATTTTACGTAATATATATATATATATATATATATATATATATATATATATAATTAAATTATTATAAAACAAGTGTATATATTAATACCTTGTGATCATTGCCACATTTATCAGGCCCAAACATTATAGTATATGGTGTTTTATCATGGAATTGTTTCAAGTCTTTATGCTTATCATCTAACGTGAGCAACTTAAGATAGGCGCCTCCACATTCCTGTCCCTCTTGGAAATTAACTTCATATTGTACAATTAGGGGTTTGTCTTCAAAGTAAAATGGCTTAGATAATAAAGTAGAAATGGCAGCATGTCTAGCTTTGCTCTTAAGCACTAATCCTAGATCTCCATCTTCAGCGTGTTTCTGAAGTTCTTCAATGGCCCAAATTCCTAATGTGAATAACAAAAAGTTAAATAAAAAATATTGAGAAAAATTTATTTTCCCTTACATTCTTTGCTAACTAAAATCTATGTTAAATAAAATAAATGTAATAAAATGTTGAATAAAATAAATGAAGAAAATTTTTGTATTAACCAGTATATGCAGCGATATCTTCGTCGATATCGTTCTTCTTTGCTGACTAAAATCTATGTTAAATAAAATAAATGTAATAAAATGTTAAATAAAGTAAATGAAGAAAATTTTTGTATTAACCAGTATATGCAGCGATATCTTCGTCGATATCGTTCTTCTTTGCTTCCGATAGCAGCCACGTTTTTTTAAATCTCTCTTCGCTGTCAAAGTTCTCCGCTAAGTAAGCAAAGCCGGAAGGGTTTGGACTTTTGTAAGACGGCTTCTGTATTTCATCATTAACGCTGCTATGCTCATGACTCTCATCCGCATTTAACGTAATACAATACGCACTAAGATAAACTAATACGACGCACGCTGCGATTCTTGCCATTTCATATTCCTAAAAGAACAAAAAAAAAGTTAGATAAACATCACCTCTCTTCGTCCAATTCACTGATTCATCTAATCGTGCCTTCAAAGACACTACGAAATATATTCTACAGAAAACATAGGAAAGTTTCGCAAAAAAATAAAAAAGACGTAGGAAAGTTTCGCAAAAAAATAAAAATGACATTCATTCATCATAAAATATTTAGTTACATTATATTTCTAAAATCGAGTCAAGAGCGAAACTTAACCTCAAAATTACAAGATTAAAAAATTACACGTATTCTTCGCGAGAGAAACGTGTAAGAACGCGCATGGGATTAACGTGGGTTCTACGTGTTCGACGAAATTACATTTACGCGTTTTTACAAAGCGATATTTCGTAAAAAGAAAAGCCGATTCTTACCGATACGAAGGAAAGATATTAATTCATAGATCCCTCGGATAAATGGTACGTCTAAAGGTGGAAAATGCGAGAAAAATGCAATACGTATTATTCAATTATTTAATAACGATAATTTAATCTATTTACACACGTAAGACACTCGCATACACGATGCGTTCCGAAAAGGAGCGGCACTTCCGGAAATTACCGGCGAAATTGTACTAATCGGGGCAGTGCCCCCTCCCCCTTCCTCTTGATAGATTCTATAATCGAATTTATTAATCCACCCGATCGCTTATATGTGTCCACACACGCATATCCAATTAAACGCAACGTCAAGCAATACTTTCGTCGATGACATGTCAAGCTCGAACGATAAATGTATCCTGTGTAGTTGCACTTTCTACACCTGCTCCTCTTTCTCCCTTGAAAAAAAGCCTAGATGTAAATACCTAGATATTAAATTTCATTTTAAAAGATAACACATACATAAACGTCTATAATTTCCGAAAAATCTATTCGTTCAGTAATATTTTGTTGACCAATCACAATAGTAGAAGCAAAAATTTCTTTATTATTGGCCAATCAAACGCTACCCAATCTGACCAATAGATGTTCGAACACATTTTATGGAACGAATTCTGTCATCACGTGAAGTTGGATACATTTGATTCGAACAGTTTAGGCGAATATTTAGATATCTGTGCTTTTTGGGTTTGAATTTCGTACGGTTGCTCTCATATGTGTAGATAAAAAAATATAATATAAAAGATTAAAAGAGAGAGAGATAATTTATTAGACACGCTCGTAGAAGGATGTTATATTTTATTAATCGTCAAGTCATCCCATAGCTGTCAAACATTCAGGATTCAAAATTGGTAAGTGTTAGTTTCCTGCAAAAAGTTGCATTTTTGCTGTATTACATGGTTTATAATTTATAATAAAATATAAATTAATATAATATATATAATAAAATTTTGATATAAATTAATTTTAAAATAAACAGATTTATTTTAAGAAATGAATAGAATTTTAAGAAATATTACTATAATTGATATACATTTAATTTACGAAATTTTATACACAAAATCAAAATTAATTCAACCATATTACTTATATTTACATTTATCCAAAATTATCTCTTATTAAATCTCCCAAATCATATTCTTTTGCTAAATAGAATTACCCTTTTACCAAAGAATAGTAAATTATTAAATGCAATATCTCTAACACTTAAAAGTTAATATTCACTGAGTCTTTATCGGTTGGGAGAAATATCTCATGACTGTCCTTACAATCATCGCAGCACTGAAAATGATTTCAACATTAATAAAAATGGATATAGCACAAATTGTAATATAAAATGTATTAAAATACCTTAACATAGCGATTACTCCAGCTGGCATTATTTTTCCACTATTGTAAAATCGATATCCCATCAAGCCTCCGAGGGCTGTACTAGTTCCTAGAAAAACTGCTACATTGGTCGGATCTTGGGAAGTCTGATAAGCCCCGTAGCCCAGAACAGATCCGAAGAAGAGCCCAGCTGCCAATGACGGAATAGAATCTTCAAGAAAAAGGATACAAAAGAATATTATTATTTTGAAACTCTGAGCATATGAGAAAACGATTAGACATCAACATATACATCTGTAAATATTTGTATGGCCAAGCACAACTTTATATATACATAAATATAACTTACTTGATTTCACGTAACCTAATATTCCACCACCAGCTACTGTAACAGCATAGGCGAAAGCGGGGATGTCGATGGGCATTTCTGTAAAAATTCACTCCTTGCGTCTCTTTAATATTATCGTACGTTGCCGTGGGCTATCACTGTTGAATGATAAGCAAGATATCTGATTTCCTTCCGATCACCATTAAATTTATGCGAACGTTGGTGTAGCAAACCTTTAGAAGAAGCTTTTCCCTATTTGTGTATTTTGCTTCGCGACAAATTTGTTATTTTAACGAATAGCTTTGTAATAAACAACAAATTTATTCCTCTGTACGTTATATATACGGTGTAATTTTTGTAATGACTATGAATTGTATGTTGCATGACATATGATTTTTCACAGTAATTTTAGTGCTGCTATGATTATCGTTTGTCGACCAATCGTTGCATCGATTCAATATATAAATATTGAAAAAGATATCTATATATCATACGTCAATAAAATTAATCTAACCAGATGAATAATTCCCTTTATTTATTTCAGATTCGTCCATCAATCGATTCTTCTGGAAATATATTTTGTAAAATTGCAGATCCGTCTGAATAAACTTTTAAGATCAAGGAGATATATGTATATTTATATCGCATAATTATATGCACGTTACTTTCAACAATTACTATCAAAAAGATGAGATAAAAATACTTCATATATACAATGAGGTAATAAAATAATTATTTCTTTACTTTAAAGATAATATGTAGTGATTTGCAAAGTCCAATTTAATTTGTCGCGTAAAATTTCAATTAAAAAAGCCAATGGAAGACATAATCATATATGTATAAATAAATCTTTTAATTAAAAATATTTATATTATCGATTAAATATCGATTTATTGTCAAGCCGCCATGTAAACAAATAAAAATTTGAAAAGTTTTAAGCATTCGTGACGAAAAAAATGCCTTATAATTTGTAACGAATTCGTTTGAAAATCCATTATCATCGAACTTCAAATATCTAGCATCATATAAACTTGTAACTTGCAACATATCGAGAGAGCTGAGCCGTTTCGCGTCAGCAAAAAATTCACACAAAAAAAGATTTTCTCTTTTTCTCTCTCTTTCGCGCGTGTATTTCCTTCGCTTGCACTAATCAATGGAAATTATATAGTATCAACAACATTGTGTAATTTGTTCCGGTTTGTTGAGAAGGTCGAGAATTTCGAGACGTGATGTAATCCCGACGATAATCTAGAGTAGAGTTTCAGTTTTTCTAGCGCAAATTGAACAGTCACGATCGCGATGACATCACGTTTCACCGCGAGCGTATAAATGTTCGGACGATTCTCAGTGAGACGGATTTGCCGCGAGAAATTCACATCGATCGTTAAGCATGCTTTCGCATAATTTACTCGTCAACACCGGGAATATACTTTCGCTGAGCGAGGCGAGGCAGAAGGCGAGTCAAAATTCTACGGATGAGGTCAGTTGACAAGCATTGCAATGTGTTTCTCCTAGCGACGTGTAATTCAATAATATCGTCTCATTATCTCGATTTATAATCGTCAAGAAGTCGAGGTTATAATGTACGTTACATTCTTTGGAATTGTCCCTTGGAAAAAAATTGATATTCTTGATTTCTTTTATTTCAGTTGATCGAGACATTAAAAATTATCCTCAATGATAACCAGAACAAAGGAGATGGTACAATTGTTGTACGTATATGAATAATTTCTAGTAATTATTAATTGGAAATGTGTATGTGAATGTATGAATATTTGATAGAGTTTTATTGATTACAATTGCAGATCAATGGAAAAGAGGATACAAGCTTACAGGATGTCGATAGAAAAGACTTGAAGATTACTGTAAAAGTATTTATCTCTTCACCCGATGTTCATTCGTTGAAAGAAGCACTAGACCAAAGTATGTTTGTTCTAATAATAATAATATTCTAATTATATATATATATATATATATATATATATAAAATTATTATACACAGGTTATTAATATATTACATTTTATTGTAGCATTTAAAACGTTAAATACGAATGTCATAGAATCCTTAGTGATTGCTTATAAAAGTGACGAAGAGCCAGAGAATATGTTGTCATCATTAAAAAAAATATGGTCTGCAGTGGAAGAATACATAAAAGTTGATAAGTTATCCAGTGTCGGATTGAGCGATATTAATACAAATATATTCATCGAATTATTTCAATGGGCTGATGTAAGGATAACTTGCTGTAAAATATCTATTATTTATTTTTTTCTTTATTAAATTTTACTTTTATATAAATTCTAATTAATATTTTCTTGTTATAGATAAAACCAAATATTGTACAAATTAATTTAACCACGTGTTGTGCGGTACCACCAGCCTTGCAAGAATTTACTAAGGAAAATGATATTCAGTTGTTGACGCACAGTGATTCATATGGTAAGTATCTTTTAAGTAAAACTACTCTTATTAAGCCATTACAATTGCTTCATTTATTCATATCTCTCTATAGAAATACTTCCTCAAGAAATGTTAGAGGGTATATTTGGCAGTACTGCTCACTTGCGCTGGCTGATAAGATATCAAATCCACCTCAAATGTCGTGGAATTTTATCATCAAAAGGATACTTATTATATATTAATAAATCAAGCTTCAAAATTTAATATCGGTAGTACTGCTAAAGATAATTTCTATTTGTCGGAACACATTATTATAGATCCAGATAGATACAAATAGATACGAATTTGATGTATATATCATATATATATATATAGCTTCATATTTTGTACCAATGTGATATGTTTTACACAGAAAACTTAATATTGTTAAATTTTGTGATCGTTAGCGTGTTGAATTTTTTGTATGTAAATATAAGTAAGCCTTCTTTAGTATATATAAAGCATTGCATTATGTGATTTGCATTTTTCTCTCTTATTAGATCTCATAAATTTTTGTAAAATTTTATATAAATATTTATATAGAGAAAAGTATGTAGAGAAGATGCGCATTTTTTAGTGAGTATATTATCAAAATGTTGTTTTTCTTCAATAAATATTTCGAGAAAAATAAATCGCATATATACAGCGCACAAAACTGTCCGACTTGACGCGAAAAATGAAAAAACAGATTTTGATTAAATTAGATTTGGTGTAAAGCAAACTATATTTTTTAAATGTGTCTTAAATTCAAATCCAGAGAGATGCACATGTATAACTTTTCTTTAGTAGCCTAAAATTAATAAATTGTAAAAGCGACATAAAATGATCTGGTAGCATTGGATATAACCCAGCAGAGTGACGTCAAATGACATCTTAATAACGTTTTAATGACGTCATTGTACGTCATTAAGACGTCTGGAGACGTCATCTTGCTACCTGGGAAGTTGTAAAATCTCATCAAAATATTGAAGAAAGTTAGAAAAGCAGAGAGACAAACAATGTATGGTATTATTTTTCTATGTAACTTACACAATTATAATAAGAGAAACTTTATTTTACAAAAAAGAAAGTTGAATTTTTTTTCGTCTAAAGAAACCATTTATTAAAAATAACCATTCAGTGTATTACTATCTAAAAATCCTTTATACAATAAGTTTTACCTAAAATATTTTACCTTAAAAATGAATGTTTACTCAAAATTGTTTAACGTTTCATGTTTTTATATGCCTTTTATTCTCTAATTTATCTTATTCTGTGTGCAGACTGTATGTATAATAGTTTTATCGTCCTTCGAGCGGCTCGCAGCCCTTGCTAGCGGTAGCCGATCGGGAGCCCGGTGGACAGCGGTGACACCGGAGGAGAATCCTTCCTTTTGTATGAGTGTGTGTGTTCCCGGCGTCCCCGTCGTCGTCGTCGTAGACCGGCCTCGATATATGCGCTTCGTTTTTTCCCTTTGCCATCACCGCCTTGCGCTGCTGCTGCCGCTGCTGTTGCCTTCTCGGATCTTTTCCTTTCCCGCCCGTTCTGCTCTCCTCCGCCGCTCCCAAGAGCCCTTTTACGTTAAGCCGCACCGCGTGGCACATACACATACATGCGAGAACGACGACACGAAGAGATGGGACTGACTTTGGAGAACTGGTAAATAGCATAAACTCACTATGCCTTATTCTCTCCTCTTTCTCTCTCACTCGCTCTTCTCTTTAGTGGCGAATTTCGCGAATCTAGATTGCAAACGCGAAAAATCGACAGATAAATTAGATCATTCAAAATTAAAAAATTTGATGTAACATTGATTTATGTAATAACATACGATTAACATTAATATATATAGAGAGAGAAATATTAATTGTAATATTTGAGATATATTCTTATCAAATATTACAATTAATTATCTTAATAAATGATAAAAAGTAAAAATGCACACAGAATAAATAATGCAAGATAATTAGTAGTATTGCGTGATTACACGCGAGAACCTAAAATGTGTGCATCTATTTAAAAATTCGCCACTAAATGCCTTTTTGTTGCCTTTTCCTCTTTCGTCCTTGTCGCGTGAGCCCTTCGCCGACGCACGCACACTTTATCGCGTTTGTCATTCCACCCTCTTCGTTCTGTTTCGCACACACTCGACGGCGGTTCCTCTTCCTTCCTTCCGTCTTTCTCTTTCTCAGACACGCACATATATGCGAGCAAGCGCGTAATATATTTGCTCTCTCTCCCTCTTTCTCTTACACACACGCACGTAGCCGCTGCGTTGAGAAGCAGAATATGCGAATGCCGCGATACTATGTTATGCCTACGGATTGCGGGTCTGACATACTTTGTATGTTAATGCCACATAATGTCGGTTTTGTTCCTCTTTTCAGCATTTATTTGTTCGGCTCTCCCTCGCATGGCCGCTTTTGTCGCGAGCGTGGACACGACGTGATGCTCGTACCAGGTATCACTGTCTCCCGATCAATCTCATCATCTAATTCGTGAAAGAGATCGCTCAGATATTTAAAGAGCGAGGACTTGGAGTCGAAATGGCGAAATTTATCCCCTGGGAAGAGTCGCGCCACAAGAGCGAACCGAGATTGCAAGAAGACACGGTTACCTCAAAGCTTTTCTTTTTATTTAACTATTAAATGTATCCTCTCTTTCTTTCAAACGTGTGTAAAGCGATAAGTTAAAATGGAAAGTTTGAGCGACTCGTCATCGGGATTCATTGTTTCTGGACGACAAATCAGCGCCAGAATTCCCACAAGTCGACCGAGTAACGCACGATATAGACCTGTGATTTTACGTTGACAGGTGATGCGGTCTCGCGCGGAATTACCCTTCGCAATACGCGACCGCATCACGGCGGTGTCGCGCGAGCAAAGTGATACACCTCATCGCTATCGTACGGTCGGAAGAAAATGAGAAAGAGATACGGACGAAGAGGAGACGAGAAATGAGAAAAGGAGAGAAGGAGGAATTCGCCTTTATTGCCTGGCATGGGGCCCCTGTCTTTTAAAGTCGAAGACAGCCGAGGACATATAATTACACGCGAACCATTAAAAAAACAGAAAAATTAAACGAAACAACTGACCACAAAAGTAAAAAGTAAATTGTTACATGCAGCAAAACACTTGCAAAGTTGATTATCGAAAATAACCGTAACTTTTTACAGCGCAACAAGTAAACAACTAATAATTAACGAAGCCGTTGAGAGACATTAGTAGGATATGATTAATGAGACGAGACGACGCGAGTGACATAATCCAAGTTACGTGCGCATTGTAAAACGGCATTGAGAGGAAGGAACGAGCGGATCGAACGAGAGAATAGGCGGTAACAGCAACGACAACACACCGACAACTCGGCAGTAGCGAGTAAACGCAAAAGCACCCTCGCTCGGTCCGGCGCGATGCAAAGACGGGGTATAAATAAGCGGCTGTCGTTTGCGGAAGCAGAAAACGGGCAAAAGGACAGAAATAAAGAAGAAGTCGAGGAAGAAAGGGAGCCAGCGACGGAGAAAGGAATAAATAAGTCGGGGGAAGGCGAGCGCGCGGAGCGAAAAAAGAGCGAGAGGGCAAGAGAGAGGGAGAAGGAGAGAAGAGGCTCGGCAGCACCGGCAGTGGGTCCAGCTCTCAAGTCCCTTGTCGCTTTGCTCGACCAACGTCCCGATCTACTACTTTCGCGGTATACGATCGTCCTTTCGCATTGAAAGCTTTTATTTCCGCCGTGTACAAAAGTCGAGCCAGCAGCCTGGCAGGTGTCCCCGAGTCTCGTTATCCGTAGGACCACTTCTTTCGAATTATAGTACGGATTTAAGGACGCGTCAAAAATGAAATAAAGAGAGAGAGAAAGAGAAAGAGATGGGTAAATGATCACAATTTAATTGAATAATCTGAGAAATTTCAGTTGGTATCGAAGAATAAGAGATTTTCCGAGAGAGATTGAGGATAAAACAAACATATACGAGATGTCTTTTTTAAAATTTAATTTTCAAACTAGGCTTCCAATGTGTCAAAGACATTGAAGCGCGCGATAGGCAATTTAAAAGAAATATTCCGAATTCGTTAGAATCTACCATTGAGATTGCTAAGAGAACATTCTGTATGCGTGCGCCTGGTGTGTATATGTATATGTTGGGGACTGCGAACAGAGCAGAACGGAGCGGAACCGAATGAGAAACGGAACAGCGGCGAACGCAACGGAGAGAAGCGCGAGCTGACTGCGGCAGGGGCGCAGCATGTTTATTGGCGCATCTCCCAGTCTTAAATCTTTATGTTGTCTCCGCGACGGGGTCCGGCCGTCTCCTCTCCCTCCCCCCGGTTGGCGGGACAAGGACGGAGCGTCCGTGGCACCGGCTGCACGGGTAAGGGGGCGAGAGAAGGAGCGGTCGGACGAGAGGCTCGCAGGGCGCGCACAGGGAGAGATATATCTTCCCGGCGGAGTTTTGCGGTCGCGAAATCGAGTCAAGGGAGTCGGACAAACCGACGACCGAGGCGCGCATCCACCGCATTACGCACACAGAAGCCGCGATTTTAACGTGCCTCTAGAAATGGTCGCGCTCAGGGGGACTCGGCATCTCTCCCGATGCGCTGAGAGCGCATAGACGGGAATTATTAATGACCCCGGCTGCGCCGGGATGCATCTGCAAGCGAGCGTACGCGGGAAGACGCGTTTCGAACTTGCCTCCGGTAGCGCGCCCCGCTCGATTACGTCATCGCGGAGTCGATGCGAAACGGATGCGTAATGACTGCTGTCATTTACGATCTCAAGATCGTTCCCTCGCGGTATCTCTTCGACGCGTTACACTTGATAAATCTATCGTACAAGTCTAGAAGTATAGAGACGTGTTGATTTCCGACGTGTTATTTTCGATCGTATGAATTTACGATCTTTCGACGATAGGATTTTCAAATTTGAACAAACCGCGCGAAATATTCTCGACTACCTTCAGTCTTTACGTATCTCTCAGTCAGAGTCGGATGAACGCGTTTTCAACTCGCTCGGAAAACATATTCGTGACATATCTTGTGACAGCTCGTCGGGATGTTACAAGTGATATCATCGTTATTATCGAAATCGCATATAAAAACGTGCTAATCGGATGTCTCTGGCATAAGAATAAGTGAAGAAACGATCGACAGTGTTATGGACGACATCGGGGGGTGAGTTTGATAACTGATACATGTCGTTTATCGAATTATGCGTATTTAATTAATTTAATTAATCAAATGACAATAGTCTAAGCTTCTCAACCTTCTCGTGACTTTTGAGCGAAAATTAGCTTATCAATAATAGCGAAATATCTCGAAATTTGGTTATTTCGTGTAAATACGGGTTATAAATAGGTTATTCTCTTCTTTTGAAATTTTCATAATGGCGCGAATGCGCGCTCGGTCATGAATCTGCTCAATTTGCGAGAGGTGGCGCCACCGAAACGTGCGTAGGCGCCTAAAGTGTTTATAGATTTAGGTGTCTTGATTTGAAAAGTGTCGAAAAGTCAAGTTTCGCGATCTGACGATAAATATACGTGCAATTTCAATCGTTTGCCGCGGGATTTGTGACATTTGTACTGTATTATGTATATTGCATATCCAACTTGAAATGTATGATCGAAATAGTCGAGTATGAAGGAGATCCGAGAGGCTAAACGGTTAGTACGAATGGTTGAAGGAATTAACCTTAATACTTTGATATTTTGCTGCAAAGATAAATTGCAACTTGTGCATTTAATTAGACGATTGCTTCCACGAATCATAAATAATTAATTTTCTATCCCACTTCTTCTCTTTTGTTTTTCTAGATTCGATCGATACCGGTGCTTTGAGTAATTTTGGTGCGTCTCGACCGATGGAGATTACATCAGCGGAGCGATTATGCTGCATCACCCGGACATTGCGAAAGGTACGCTCAATATCGCATCATATGTCATTTCGAAGAAGGAGAGAAAAGAGAGAGACGCGGCATTTTGCGCCGTTTTCCGTGGAATTCCCGGTATCGGTTCGAGCGCTCGACACAAAGGTTTGACGATCCCCCGAGTAAGTGAAATATCATCGGCAATCATTCACGCGCGATCT